AATTATATAAATTTATACTTGTGGTACATTTTATCTGTTGTTATCTAAAAGACACAAGAATAAAAACACCCACTCTTACTCTTTTTCCTTAAAAAAGAAAAAAGGGAAGTAAATTGGCCATGGCCTGAAGCACCGGTCTGGAGTATCTAATCAAATAAGCCGGCAAATTGCGCTCGGCTCGCCGCTGCTAACTCGAGTCGACAATAAAATGTTATGACCATACGAAATTTTCAGTATTTTCTTCTAAGTTTTCTTCGTTGCTTTTTATGTAGCTCCATTTGTAAATCTGAGAGACGGCATCTGTATAATGTGATGGCCTTTTAGAGGCCAAGTCGAGCATTTAGGCAACGCTTTTTTATGGGCTATATGGTTGAGTCGACTCCGACTCCGACTCCAACTCCGACTCCGACTCCGACTCCGACTCGGCTTGACTCCAGTCGGTGTCTGTTAATGATTGATAAACCGCACGGGACCAATCAACACCCAAAGACCAATCCTATGGTTCGGTGTCTTAGAAAAGAGAGTGACGCAGTGGGAGAGAGAGAGAGAGAGAGAGTGGCAGAGGGGGAACAGAAGGGGTCCTACGGGTACGGGGCTCTCAGATGTGCATCAAATATTGCCCACATTGTCGTGAGCAGCAGTGGAGGGACTGTAGTTGGCATAAGTACGGGCTAGTTGCTATACCAGTTTCTTTATTACAAAAAGGAGCTTGGGTCAAAACCGCAACAACAACAACAACAACAACAATGGCAGCAACAGCGAAATCGCAGCCAGCAGCGACGTCGTAAAAGAAAACAATATTGTAAATAAAGTTTAGAGCTGAAGCCCAAACGGGTTTTCAAGTTAACCAAAACAACGAAAACAACGAAAACAACAAAAACAACCAAAACAGCCAACAAGCAACCCAACAACCGACCAAACAACCAAACGTCTGACCGACCAACCCAACATCGTGACTGCTTCGCGCTTGTTGTTGTTGTTTTTGTTGTTGACGTCTTGGTCTTTGATGACTTTTTAACCAAAGTTGTTGCCTGTTGCCTCTTGTTGTTGTCGATTTTTATTTTTATTTTTTTATTCATTTTATTTTATTTTTTATTTTTTTTGTATTTGTATACCCTGCAGCTAACCGAAATCTGTAGAGAAAAGAATAAGCTACCTCAAGGAACTCGGCGACTTCTATTGGCAAAGCCTGGAAATTCGGTATGTAGGCTCAACACAACATCTATGGTTAATAAGACTGAAATATCTCGATTTTCGGCTATAAACTGTAAAGCCAAGTTTATCTTAACTCAAAAACTAACAAGTAAGAAGGCTCCAGTCGAGACTGCTCGACTAGGAGATACCCTGAACCCTCCAAACTGATATTCTAATCATTCTGGACTTCTTTTATGCACACATACATACACATGCACGTATAAGCACGCGCTTTGCAAACTGCGCAGCTAGCAGCGGCTGCGCTTGGGCTGCACTGCAGTGTGGGCAATATAACGAGAATTTATTTGTTGAATAATTTCTTTTGTAGACATACGATCTTAATGAAACTTTTAGAGCGTAATCATATGGCTTAAATGTGTGTACATTTCAAAGCACAAGTCTCTAGTACTTGAAATGCGTTTTTTACAAATTGGGGGCGAAGGGGGCGTGNTGCCAAATTTCAGCTCTCTAGCTCTTATATCTTCTGAGATCCTTTTGCTCATACGGACGGACGGACGGACGGACGGACGGACGGACGGACGGACGGACGGACGGACGGACAGACGGACAGGGCTATATCGACTCAGCTCGTCGTCCTGATCAAGAATATATATACTTTATGGGGTCTGCGATGATTCCTTCTGCCTGTTACATGCTTTTCACAAAACCATTATACCCTGATTTCCCATTTTCAATGGGTTCAGGGTATAAAAATGCAACAAGTTTGCTGTTAAACGTGACTGAAATCAATTTGTAATAATTTCATGAAACTATTATGAAAAATATAAATATGCCCATCCTACCTCAAGGAACTCAGAAAATACCCATGTGAAACATTACATTCGATATAATTGATAATAGATAGAAAAATATACAATTTAAAGCAGCATTTTCTGAAATGGATATGTAAAATCGAAAGAAAATCCTATCCTAACTACCAGAACTCAAGAGTTAGAAGAGCCATGCTCACAATATATTGGTAAAAGGCTCCTCTCTTAGCTTTAATAATAATTTCACTAAGTAAATCCATTATTTTAAGCACCAAGCCAATTACCATTTAACTAAATATATCCATCATATGATGTAACAACCAATTCCTAACTAGAGTAACTCAAAAATTATAAAATACCAAATGTTATATGTAAGCTCTGTGTGATATTTAATACAATGTTGTTATAAATTATTCTCTGATGGTGTATATAAAGCTGATCCTCAGTCCCTCAACTTGTTCTTCCACTGCAGCTAATTCCAGGGTATATTCTCGGCGATCGCTGTTGACTGCTCTTCTGTTTTTGGCTTATTGCTGTTACCATAAAAGCAGTTAAACCACAAACCACATCCATTGCCGTAAAACTTCTTGTTCGTAAACAACAAACGCTCGGACGCTGGGACAGACGCTTTGTTGTTTGGCTGGCCCCAACTGGAGCTCGGGCCCCAGAACTGGGCTTCGCTGTCTTCTGGCCCAAACACCATAAACATGAAACGAATCTAAGTCAAGAAACAAGTCTCGAAGCCATGGCTTAGACTTTATCTCCAGTCTGAGCCAAGAACTAACCTAGGTCTAGCAACTAGTTTGACAACGTTGTTCGTACACACTTATTTATTTATTATTATTATTATTTTTATTTTTTTCCTTTGGCACCGTCTATGTGACGGCTATGGGTATGTATTTTGTGCACATGCTCATGGCTTTTAAGATAAAAACTATTATGATTGCTAAAACGTGCAAAAAAATATAATAAATAATATAAAAACAATAACAGCCGCGAAAAAACAAACTCGATAGCTCCACAAATGGTAG